AAGCGTTTTCATCTATCAGTTGTTGCATCTCTAAATCCACCACACCGTTATACCAATCTCCAAATGTTCTCGCTAATTTGACATTGACGGCTGTTGTGGAAGATAATGGCGCAGGCGTGGTGAACAGTGTATGAGTCCGGATGTGTTTGTGGCCATGAATGTGTATTACTTTAGGGATTTATGCTTATAGTTAGCTTGAACTACTTTCAAGATGGTTGATACACCAGCTTCTGGGCCTTAAGCCTTCCATCTTCCTTCATCTAAATATTCTCAACAACTGCATGTCTTGACGAACTTTTGGTAAGTGACCTCGTGTCTGCTGCCACATAATTCGTTCAGTAGTGCCACCAGTACGGACAGCTGATAAGAAAGTGTCCCCCTGTGTCACCGTTCACACGTAACTCCGTAGCTACAGCGACGTTCCTCCATTAACCCCAGAGTGTTCTCTGGTACCCATTACTTAGAGGCTCGGTGAACTACAGCGACGTTCCTCCATTGACCCCAGAGTGTTCTCTGGTACCCATTACTTAGAGGCTCGGTGAACTACAGCGACGTTCCTCCATTGACCCCAGAGTGTTCTCTGGTACCCATTACTTAGAGGCTCGGTGAACTACAGCGACGTTCCTCCATTGACCCCAGAGTGTTCTCTGGTACCCATTACTTAGAGGCTCGGTGAACTACAGCGACGTTCCTCCATTGACCCCAGAGTGTTCTCTGGTACCCATTACTTAGAGGCTCGGTGAACTACAGCGACGTTCCTCCATTGACCCCAGAGTGTTCTCTGGTACCCATTATTTAGAGGCTCGGTGAACTACAGCGACGTTCCTCCATTGACCCCATTACCAAGAGGCTGGGTGAACCCTGGGAACTGCCGGGTTTCGAACACCGGCCGTAGGCTGCAGCTAGTCGCACCTGCATTTTAAAGCGAGTCTGCTATCGACTATGCAAACGTGGCCCCTCAGTAATTATGTGATTTATCATGAACCTTCCGACTGCACACACAAAAGTCCCAGAAAGGGCAGACGTCATATAGCGTGTCCCAGGTCTGATAACTCTCGTTGACTGTCATAACCTTTAGAAGTTAGTGACAGCAAAATTTTTTTTTTTTTTTATCTTTAATTTCGTTCAGTTTTCAATAAAATATTTTTTTCCGGAGTGGTAGTGGCCGCTAGAAAATCGTGAGAAGCCCTTAGCTCTTTCAGTACCAAAAAAATGTATTACTTAAACCCCTTATATCACAGAAATGTTGCTTACAAGCTATAAATCCTAAGGTTTGAAGGCGTTTAGCAGAGATACTTACTATAGGGTAGAAAAGGTTCAAATAGCAATTTAGGTTAAAAAAAAGTCGACAAGCGTTCACTTTCGCAGTGTTAGTATATTTGAAGATTGTCACCGAACGTCAGGACTAGCTACATCCAAAGAAGCATTCATTCGGTGTCATCTAGACCAGCGTTTCTCAAACTTTTCTCGCTGTGGCACCCCTCTGGGGCAAACAAGTTTTCGCGGCACACATACACGGTTTGAATATATAAGAAAGGAAGAAAAACAATGCAAATTTAATTTTCAGCTGTCTGTAATGCGATGAATAAAACTGTTTAGATAAATTGTTCTTCATTTCCTTTATATTTATGAGAAGCTTAGGTAATTGTACCCTCAAGTCACTTGAAGGTTGCTCCTGTATCTGTTTTTGGTTTTAATGCGAGCGTACGTTGAGAATGCACTGCAGCCTTGCTGATAGCATTGTTTTATGAATACACCTGCATCGAGAACACTTCTTGGCTTCCTTCGTGGTATTTCTGTTTAAAACTGCTGTCTTCGCTGATCTGAAGCAGATTTTTAATTTTTTTTTTAATTCTTGTTAATTGCCGCGGCACCCCTGGCATACGCTCTCGGCACCCCGGGGTGCCGCGGCGCCCAGTTTGAGAACCGTTGAGCTAGACTACCGACCAATCATTACTACTGTGGTGGCGGCCAAAAGAGAGCAATGTTGGTTAGAATAACTGTGAACGCGTCAAGCCCAGGGCTGCCAATGCTGGGTTTTTACCCCCAGGTTTTTATGTGATTCGTAGGGTTCTAATTTTAAAATCTGGGTTTTTACAAAAATATCCATATATAAAAGTGGGTAAATGGTTCGTTTGGTAACTATAAGATTCGTACTTTTTAACAATCTGTATTGCTTGGGGTTTTGTTCAGCTTAGCTGGGTTTTTCACAAACCCATCGGCAGCTCTGGTCAAGCCCGGCACATTTAGTGCGTCTAAGCCACACGAACATGTGTGATTCTAGAAGATGTCCGTGCCAGGCTGCCTCTTGTTTCTCTCTTTCTCTGCTCCCCACAAGCGTTCGACGCACTGAGTCTGTGCACACGTCGTCGGGTCGACAACATTTTCAGTTGTCTGCTGTCATTGGAGTTAGTCCAGGAATGTTCCCGTCTCCATCGTACGCATGCCACCGGTCAGACAAGGGCTGCCAATGATTGGTTTTTACTCCCAGATCAGGTTTTTTTTTTAAACCTTAGGTTCAAAGTTTAAAAATCTTGGTTTAAAAAAAAATATCCTTTAAAGAAAATGGGTAAATGTTTCGTTTCGTAACAATAAAATTTGTACTTTTTAACAATCTGGGTTTTCCTATGTATTGCTTGGGTGTTTGTTCAGCATAGCTGGTTTTTTTTTTTTAAATCCTATTGGTAGCCCTGGGTCAGACACGACAGTTGTGCCAGGACGAATGCATGTCCTTATAATAGACACAAGTGTCTCTGCTTTTTTATCGGCGACGAGAACGACGGCCGCTGCTTACAGAATCTCGAGTAACAGTCAATGCGAGTAACACACAACACAAGGAGCTTTTCGAAGAAAACAGCGCAACGTGACACACACAGTCAGGATTAAAACGCAACGTAGAGAGCTCTCCGGATAAAGCAGTACAACCTGACACTCCTCTGACAAAAAAAGAGTCCGAAAAAGCATTCATGAAAGTTCAGACAGTGTGAAATTGGCCTGGAAACGTGAACTGGGCCAACCCACAGAGCGTCAAATGGTCTGAATACATCAAGCCCTAGGTTAGTTCGACGTTAGTCTCCCCAACAAGAGTAGGTCACTTTTCATTCACAAGTTTGTTGGGCTGGTCGACTTTCCTGAAAGCTAATGGTGGGTCCCGCTCTGTTGTTTGGTTTCTGTGATGTCTTGCATTTACTTTTTCATTCCGAGAAAGAGAATGCCTGTGACATAGGTTGCAGCACTCTCTAGGGGGATTGTGTTAGACTCAGTGTCTCCATGTTTTTGGAGTATTAAAAGTGCTGGCGTTCTGAAATATACAATACGCGATATCAACGGCATTGCGGAACACCCCCGTAACCGTGTGTGCAGGTTACGGGGTTTAGGAACTACCAATCAAAAGGGAGCTAGTAAGTATATGGGTGGGGTCTGAGGAGACTAAGTCGAACTAACCCTAGCCCTTTATACCCAACACGCATACCGGTGTGGTAAAGGGTCTTCGCCATTACCCGACTGTTCGCTTGGGTTAATAAAAATGGTCCTGTATTTATGAATCACTTCTAAATTATTAGGGTACATATTCGACGTCACAGCATTCAGGACAAACCCATATTATCCCCACACCTCTCCTTAAGCAGCCAGCGAAAAGTCTCCATAATTTTTGTACCCGAAATATCGTGAACTACTGGTCTTGCCTTTCCTCAAGTTCTCGAGTCGCGACTAGAAGCCCTTAACACTCATTCATGTATCATTCGCTACAGGTACGGATAGTCAATACCCTCCAGACTGGTTACCTCTGACTGGTGCAGCTGATCTTCACGTAGGACCAGTCTAGCCAGCCTATAGGCTTGCTTACTTACTTTCTGCTAATGTCATGTAGCAGGTACTTTGCAGAACGTTGCTCTCATCGCTGTCTACCTAAAAGAAATTCGGTCTCTCGTGTACTTTCATATTCAATGGGTCACGTATATCCTGTGCCTATCTTCATGATGGTCGGCCCCTGCCCCTCTTTTCTGGTCCATGCTTTCTGCTATTATATTTGCCAATCCGTCGTGACGCTTGATATGACCAAAATATTCCAGCTTCCGAGACAAGATGCTGTTTATTAGCCAATCTTCCTTGATGTTCAGATCTTTCAAAATGTCAGTATTTCTTCAACAAGATGGAAGGATAACATCAGAGAAACTCTACAACAGCACAATGTGCCTATGGTCGAGGCAGCCAGAAGAGCTAGAAACAGAACCTTATATCTCCCTCGACACCCACAGCGGTAAAAAAGGAAGTGAAGAAAAAGAAGAAGAAGAAGTATTTCTTCATTTCTTTGTCCAAGATACTCTGAAAATCTTTCTGTAGCATTTCAGCTCAAAAGCTCATATTCTCTTTCTTAAAGACGGAGAGATAATCCACAACTCACATCTGTATGTTGCTACAGGGAAGATGCATGCTCTCAGAAAACTAATTTCGATCTCCTTGCTCGTGCTTAACCACATACTTTTTACGCTGTTTAATCTTCTACTACTACACAAAAATATCTGTCATCTAAGAGAGAAACAATTAACTTAAACACGTATTCTTCTCCTGGAGCCACAGTGGTGTAACGGCTAGACTCTCGCCTGTAGATTGAAGTTCACGTGTTCAGGTCCTAACAGAGCGAGGCCTTTTTCAAAAATGACCATGGCTCCTAGGTCGACCTAGGGTGCCAGGTGAAGTCCTGGGAAGTAAAGGCGTAGACGTAAAGCTGACCTCATCACTAACTGAGTGATTGGTCTATAAAATATAGATCCAGGTCTATATACCCAGTACAAGCGAGGGCGTGGGAAAGGGTCATTTACTTTACTGACAGAGACAACTGTAAACCTGAACAAATAACTAAACTATGACCCACATACAACCTGCCTACCAAGGCCACAGCCACAGGAGGTCATAGTTGAAAGGTCAGCCAAAGTTAGACCTACACTTAACAGTTAGCTTGGAATTTGTTTTCTGTCTGCATCTAGAATTTTCAGAAGATGGCATCTTTCGGGGAGAAACTCGGCGGTATTGTGACATCTTCGTTTGTGGGCTATGCCTTGTCCATGTGTAAGGAGACAGGAATCTTGCAAGTTTTAATCGAGAGTCGGACACCTCTGACATCACAGGAGGTTGCAGACAGTAAGGAGCTCAAAGAGAGGTATGTCCTGAGCCTGTTTGCCGGGTTATAAAGGCCGGCATTTGGTCTGGGATTATTCACTTCAGTGTGTGTTTTAATAATATCCATATGGTGTCGTGTTAAAAAAAAATACTTTTAGTGTTACGTTATTCATCGTCATCATCATCATCACTGTGTGCCATTTACACGTCACATAAGCCTTGCAATCTCTCCCTCCATTCTGTTGTATCCTGTTCAATCTTGTAAATATCATGGAGGGAATCTAGTGCAGCACTTTCTGGCTTCTCATCAGTTGTTACTTCTTTGCGACCTTTTTTTTTTTTTTTCACTTTCACTTCATAAGAACTGTATGATTTATTTTTTTCTAAGTTTCTTCCTGCACTAATAATTGTATTGCTCGTTTAGTATTACACAAAAACGTATTTTTTTTTTTTAATTTTTTTTTTGTAGTTTCAAAGCCTCACCCAAGGCTGTTGCCGGGGGCCCCAATATAACCCAACCTATGGGTTGAAGGGGTTTCTGGGACCTGTCCCTGGGTGATCCTTATCTAAATGGTAGCACTTTGTGTCACCTGGTGTTTATTGCTCGTTGTAATATCCTGGTGAGGTTGAATGTCAGTTAGTATTACTACCCAACTGCGACTCGCTGCAGCCCACGGTTAGTGTTCGAAACCGGGCGGCTCCCGGGGTTCACCCAGCCTCTAGGAAATGGGTACCAGAGTTGACACTCTGGGGTAAATGGAGGAACGTCGCTGTTGCTACAGGGTTACGTGTGAACGGTGACACAGACTGACAATTCATATCAGCTCTCCGTACTGGTGGCAGAGCACTTATGGTTTACAACTGTGTGCAATGACGCTGTTTCACATCTCCCGACTTTACCTTTACCTTTAGTATTACTACATGATATGAGCTGTTATTGCTGATTAGAATTGTAATGTCTAGTAATATGCAAGGTTTATAGGGGTGATATTTAGTTTATGTTGTTTATATTTCATAATTGGGTGGGGGGGGGGGGGATAAGGAAATAAAATGTAATATGAATGAGACATGATTAGGTCTCCACCAAGTATAGGTACTAGTTTCATGTAAGAACTTGCACAGAATCATTGGTTTGGCTAGGAAGCCATGGACTAGATATTTTGGCAGCAGATGCTGGAACAGTCATGCTGAACACAAGATATTACCTATCCTTTATAAGAACTTGCATGGATAAAATTTCAGCATCATTGGTTAGGAAACAATGGATAACTGGATTTGCTGGCCTCAGATGTGAAACAATAAGTCAACAATCAAAGATAAACTGTCAGGATCATTGGTTAGGAAACAATGGATAACTTGATTTGTTGGTCTCAGATGTGAAACAATCAGTCAACAATCAAAGATAAACTGTCAGAATCATTGGTTAGGACACAGTGGATAAGTGGATTTGCTGGCCTCAGATTTGAAACAATAAATCAACAGTCAAAGATAAACTGTCAGGATCATTGGCTAGGAAACAATGGATAACTGGATTTGTTGGTCTCAGATGTGAAACAATCAGTCAACAATCAAAGATAAACTGTCAGGATCATTGGTTAGGAAACAATGGATAACTTGATTTGTTGGTCTCAGATGTGAAACAATCAGTCAACAATCAAAGATAAACTGTCAGAATCATTGGTTAGGACACAGTGGATAAGTGGATTTGCTGGCCTCAGATTTGAAACAATAAATCAACAGTCAAAGATAAACTGTCAGGATCATTGGCTAGGAAACAATGGATAACTGGATTTGTTGGTCTCAGTTTTAAAACAATCAGTCAACAATCAAAGATAAACTGTCAGGATCATTGGTTAGGAAACAATGGATAACTTGATTTGTTGGTCTCAGATGTGAAACAATCAGTCAACAATCAAAGATAAACTGTCAGAATCATTGGTTAGGACACAGTGGATAAGTGGATTTGCTGGCCTCAGATTTGAAACAATAAATATAAAGTCAAAGATGAACTGTCAGGATCATTGGCTAGGAAACAATGGATAACTGGATTTGTTGGTCTCAGTTTTAAAACAATCAGTCAACAATCAAAGATAAACTGTCAGGATCATTGGTTAGGAAACAATGGATAACTTGATTTGTTGGTCTCAGATGTGAAACAATCAGTCAACAATCAAAGATAAACTGTCAGAATCATTGGTTAGGACACAGTGGATAAGTGGATTTGCTGGCCTCAGATTTGAAACAATAAATCAACAGTCAAAGATAAACTGTCAGGATCATTGGCTAGGAAACAATGGATAACTGGATTTGTTGGTCTCAGATGTGAAACAATCAGTCAACAATCAAAGATAAACTGTCAGGATCATTGGTTAGGAAACAATGGATAACTTGATTTGTTGGTCTCAGATGTGAAACAATCAGTCAACAATCAAAGATAAACTGTCAGAATCATTGGTTAGGACACAGTGGATAAGTGGATTTGCTGGCCTCAGATTTGAAACAATAAATCAACAGTCAAAGATAAACTGTCAGGATCATTGGTTAGGAAACAATGGATAACTTGATTTGTTGGTCTCAGATGTGAAACAATCAGTCAACAATCAAAGATAAACTGTCAGAATCATTGGTTAGGACACAGTGGATAAGTGGATTTGCTGGCCTCAGATTTGAAACAATAAATCAACAGTCAAAGATAAACTGTCAGGATCATTGGCTAGGAAACAATGGATAACTGGATTTGTTGGTCTCAGATGTGAAACAATCAGTCAACAATCAAAGATAAACTGTCAGAATCATTGGTTAGGACACAGTGGATAAGTGGATTTGCTGGCCTCAGATTTGAAACAATAAATCAACAGTCAAAGATAAACTGTCAGGATCATTGGCTAGGAAACAATGGATAACTGGATTTGTTGGTCTCAGATGTGAAACAATCAGTCAACAATCAAAGATAAACTGTCAGGATCATTGGTTAGGAAACAATGGATAACTTGATTTGTTGGTCTCAGATGTGAAACAATCAGTCAACAATCAAAGATAAACTGTCAGAATCATTGGTTAGGACACAGTGGATAAGTGGATTTGCTGGCCTCAGATGTGAAACAATCAGTCAACAATCAAAGATAAACTCTCAGGATCATTGGTTAGGAAACAATGGATAACTTGATTTGTTGGTCTCAGATGTGAAACAATCAGTCAACAATCAAAGATAAACTGTCAGAATCATTGGTTAGGACACAGTGGATAAGTGGATTTGCTGGCCTCAGATTTGAAACAATAAATCAACAGTCAAAGATAAACTGTCAGGATCATTGGCTAGGAAACAATGGATAACTGGATTTGTTGGTCTCAGATGTGAAACAATCAGTCAACAATCAAAGATAAACTGTCAGGATCATTGGTTAGGAAACAATGGATAACTTGATTTGTTGGTCTCAGATGTGAAACAATCAGTCAACAATCAAAGATAAACTGTCAGAATCATTGGTTAGGACACAGTGGATAAGTGGATTTGCTGGCCTCAGATTTGAAACAATAAATCAACAATCAAAGATAAACTGTCAGGATCATTGGTTAGGAAACAATGGATAACTTGATTTGTTGGTCTCAGATGTGAAACAATCAGTCAACAATCAAAGATATACTGTCAGAATCATTGGTTAGGACACAGTGGATAAGTGGATTTGCTGGCCTCAGATTTGAAACAATAAATCAACAGTCAAAGATAAACTGTCAGGATCATTGGCTAGGAAACAATGGATAACTGGATTTGTTGGTCTCAGTTTTAAAACAATCATGTTGGACAAAATAACCGCTAATTGAAAGCACGTAAATAAGTAAATAAAACAACCTACACAATTTTCTGTTTTGTGTGTGTGTGTTTTGTTGATATTTGTTTGTCAACTTCTGAACTTTGATCTTGTTCTAGAACTTAAATTGTGTGTGTGTATCTGTTTTACAGATCTGGCTTATTTGTATGCAGACTGTTGGTTCCTTGCCTCTCCTGCAGATGCACTTACATCAAAGAAAACATCCACAATTAACTTTATGACATTTGTTTGGGGGCAGTGGGTCTACAGGTGTATCCCCACCCCCCACCTCCCCCCCCCCCCCCTCTCTCTCTCTCTCTCTCCAGAAAATGACCTTTGAACTCACATATAGAGATTTTACAGCAACATAAAAAGAAGCATAGATAAGAATAATTTTAACTGAAACAAGGTAAATTACATAGACTTTTGTTGTACTTCACATATTACCATTGCACTGTGTGAATTACATAGACTGTTGTTGTACTTCACATATTACCATGACACTGTGTGAATTGCATAGACTATTTGGGTACTTCACATATTATCATGACACTGTGTGAATTACACAGACTACTGTTGTACTTCACATATTACCATTGCACTGTGTAATTTACACAGACTATTTTTGTACTTCACATATTACTATGGCACTGTGTGAATTGCACAGACTGTAGTTGTACTTCACATATTATCATGACACTGTGTGAATTACACAGATTACTGTTGTACTTCACATATTACCATGGCACTGTGGGACTAACTTCACCAAATTGTTTGTGTCCTCACAATAGAAAACAATGCTTTAAATTACTGTTCCTGTTCAGGTATGTACGGGAGCTTCTCAACTGTTTAGCTACAGCAGAACTAGTAAATGTGTCCACGAACGAGGCTGGAGCTCTGGTGTATCACATTCAGGAGGAGGAGAAGAAAGTATTCAAAACGCCTTTGATGCCTTTTATGTCCTTTCTGTCTGCATTTAGAAGAGTGTATGACACAGTCAAAGACTGCATACCCGTATCTGGACCATATGGTAAGTTTATGTTTATGGAAAATAGTCAAGGTACTTTTATTTTGTAGTTCATGTTTGTTCAACCCACTCATAGATTTATCTTATGGTTCATGTTTTTCAAATCATTCATACAAACTTTATTCTATAGTTCACATTTGTTCAACTCACTCATATAAATTGTATTCTATAGTTCATGTTTGTTCAACTCGCTCATAGAAGCTTTGTCTTATAGTTCATGTTTGTTCAACTCACTCATAGAAAATTTATCTCAGTTCATGATTGTTTAATTCATTTATAGAAATTGTAAATTCTTGTTTATGTTTGTTCAACTTAATCTGATAGTTAACGTTTGTTAAACTCGCCCAGAGAAACTTTATAGTTCATGTGTGTTCAAATCACTCATAGAAACAACATTTTACAGTTCATGCATGTTCAACTCTTCACAGATACTTTATCTTATAGTTCATGTTTGTTCAACTCACTCATAGATACTTTATCTTATAGTTGATGTTTGTTTAACTCACTCATAGATACTTTATCTTACAGTTCATGTGTGTTCACTCACTCATAGAAACTTGACTGTATAGTTTTATGTTTGTTCAACTCACTCATGTAAGCTTTATCTTATAGTTCACGTGTGTTCAGCTCATTTATATCATAAAGCATCTATGTCAAACCAAAAGAAAAATAAAACTAGTCAGTTTTACACTATCACAGACACAAATGACAAGTGAATGTTGTGACTAAAAGCCTTTTTCAGCTTATGATACAAAATATAATCCCACAGACACAAACAAGAATATGCAAAAATCACTGAACAGAAGTGTCTCTGAGAGAAGTCACATATCTGTACATAACATGACATAACATAACCCTTGACCCAATAGGGTCATGGAGGTGTATTGATGGAAGCACTAGCACATAAAACCTGCCATCTTTCTCTAACTTCTGCTTGATTAACAAGTGTATGATAACATAGTCCTGTCCATTTCTTGATGTTGTCATTCCAGATACTTCTTTGCCCTCCTCTTTTTCAACAGCCACTCCCCTTAGCCATGTTCCTTGAAGTACAGTCTTTGCAAATGAATCATGTCTCACCACGTGCCCAAACCATTAGGAAAATCCAAAACACATGCATATCCGTCTGGCCAGCTAAATCTCTGACACGCCTCACAATTCACTCATAGAAACTTCATCTTATAGAATCTTCATCTTATGAAACTTCATCTTATAGAAACTTTATCTTATAGAAACTTCATCATACAGAAACTTCATCTTATAGAGACACTATCTTTTAGAAACTTTATCTTATAGAAACTTCATCTTACAGAAACTATCTTATAGAAAATTCATCTTATAGACACTTTATTTTACAGAAACTTCATCTTACTGAAACTTTATCTTATAGAAACTTCATCTTATAGAAACTTCATTTTACAAAAACTTCATCTTACAGAAACTTCATCTTATATAAACTTATCTTACAGAAACTTCCTCTTATAGAAAGTTCATCTTATAGAAAGTTCATCTTATAGCTCAAGCTGAGTGCTGTTTGTTGTAATATCTGACCACAGCATTATGTCTCATGCACTGTCAGTCTTCTTTCCTACAGATGTTCTTTCAGATCATGATGCTAAACTGTCCAACAATCTCTGTCTCTATCTGTATCTCTGTCTCTATCTCTGTATTTATCTCTATCTATCTATCTATCTATCTATCTATCTATCTATCTATCTATCTATCTATCTATCTATCTATCTATCTATCTATCTATCTATCTATCTATCTATCTATCTATCTATCTATCTATCTATCTATCTATCTATCTATCTATCTATCTATCTATCTATCTATCTATCTATCTATCTATCTATCTATCTATCTATCTATCTATCTATCTATCTATCTATCTATCTATCTGTCTGTCTGTCTGTCTGTCTGTCTGTCTGTCTGTCTGTCTGTCTGTCTGTCTGTCTGTCTGTCTGTCTGTCTGTCTGTCTGTCTGTCTGTCTGTCTGTCTGTCTGTCTGTCTGTCTGTCTGTCTGTCTGTCTGTCTGTCTGTCTGTCTGTCCGTCCGTCCGTCCGTCCGTCCGTCCGTCCGTCCGTCCGTCCGTCCGTCCGTCCGTCCGTCCGTCCGTCCGTCCGTCCGTCCGTCCGTCCGTCCGTCCGTCCGTCCGTCCGTCCGTCCGTCCGTCCGTCCGTCTATCCATCCATCTATCTATCTATCTATCTATCTATCTATCTATCTATCTATCTATCTATCTATCTATCTATCTATCTATCTATCTATCTATCTATCTATCTATCCATCCATCCATCCATCCATCCATCCATCCATCCATCCATCCATCCATCCATCCATCCATCCATCCATCCATCCATCCATCCATCCATCCATCCATCCATCCATCCATCCATCCATCCATCCATCCATCCATCCATCCATCCATCCATCCATCCATCCATCTATCTATCTATCTATCTATCTATCTATCTATCTATCTATCTATCTATCTATCTATCTATCTATCTATCTATCTATCTATCTATCTATCTATCTATCTATCTATCTATCTATCTATCTATCTATCTATCTATCTATGTCTTTATTGAAAATATCTGGTTGTCAAGTTTTTCCTTTTTCATGATGTGTTAAAAAGATATGTGGAATGTTGACTTCAAGTAGAGTTTATATTTATAATCATTTATATTTATTTTACAAGTCACTTTCTTGAAAAATATAACATTTTATTACAAGGCTTATGCGCACACACGCACACACACACACACACACGTATAGATGAAATCAAATAATCCCTTGTATAAGAAAGAAAGTTCACACTAAAACATTTACAGGTGCTCGATATTCAGAGGAGGTTCACAACGTAATTGAGGAATTCAGCGTCTGTCACCAGGAACTATTTGTGGATGGTTTTCTCAACAGGGTGGAGGGACTCCGGGAGAGACTGGGTAAGCATGAATTTTTTTTTCAAAGATTTGTTTTTTTAACTTCAGCTTGTTACTAAGCATCCTCCTGAATCTTTCACTTAAGTGCTTTATCCCAGTCTTCAGCAGCCAACATACAGTTGTACTCGGTACTATAGCAGTCTGACTGTGCTACAGGGTTGATCTGTTTGCTATGAAGCTCTGACCAAGATTACTAAAATTACAAAGATTACTAAGATTAACGAGATAATCAAGATTACTAAAATTACTAAGATTACCAAGATTGTCAAGATTACTAAGATTGCCAAGATTACTAAAATTGCCAAGATGACCAAGATTACTAAGATTATCAAAAATATTACGATTACTAAGATTTCCAGGATTACCAAATTCACAAAGATTGCTAAGATTACCAAGATTACTAAAATTACCAAGATGACCAAGATAAACACGATTATCATAATTACTAAGATTACCAAGATTATCATAATTACTAAGATTACCAAGATTATCATAATTACTAAGATTACCAAGATTATCATAATTACTAAGATTACCAAGATTATCATAAACCAAGATATTGAGAATACTCAGAAAAGTCACATATTATTTGTAACAATTATACGGTTGAATAGCGTATTTGAGAATTGCTCCTATTGAATTCACATTTACAAGTTAGAAGAAACAAAAAGGATAAAAAAGCTTCTTGAATCTGTTGTTATTGTCTGTATTTTACTGTTTTTAAGGCAATCAAGTCAGGGTGGTTATTACCTTGAAGGTTTATGGCTACACAGCTAGTACTGTCATCAGGGACTGAAGATTTGGATGTTTATTTTTGCCTTAACAGAAAAACTACATTACCTAACTGGGAGTGGAACTTGGGTCTTCTGCATGGGAAGGCAACTTTTAAACCACTCGGCCAGCTGCTGCACACTTCTTTAATCACGGCTCTCCATTTTATGACAGGGGCAATGCGCTCCACGCCCATGTCAGACATGGAAACAATTACTGGTCTCCATGATCTGGAAGATAGGAGAGACACAAAGCTCCTCACCCAGCTCTCCAAATACCACCACTTTAAAGAACAACCCATGCACAGCCGACTGCAGAAACCCCAAAAGGCTAGACTAAAGAGAACATGTTTTATTAAGAACCCAAATGTTAAGCTCGCTGTCCTTAAACTCCCTCCCAAAATACCAAACTTAAACCTTACAACGACTGCCCCCCTTGGCTTAGAGATAGCCTACCAACAGTCAGAACCACTGTAACAGGAATCTCTTCCAAATCATCAATGAGCAGCACTGATATGAAATCAACTACAGAAGGAGAGATCAATAGACTTTATCCACACCAGAGTTGGATTCGAGTGTATACAGATGGTTCAGCCAAGAGAGCAGTAAGAGACGGAAAAGGAGGAATATACATAGAATGCCCAAAAGGTTTAAAAATCAACCAGGCTGTACCAACAGGTTCATATTCCTCTAATTACAGAGCAGAGGTAGAAGCATTTCTGGCGGCATGTTCTGTCCTTAATGGACAACAGCACAGCAAATATAGCAGAGTGGTCTTTCTGACTGATGCTATGTCAGTTCTACAAGTAATTGTTAACCCAAAAGACACTCAGTTTGTAGACTTGACGCAACAGCTGATTTACTTAGGCTCTTCAGTAGAACAATCTGTAATGCAGTGGATTCCAGGTCACCGTGGCTTGGAAGGCAATGAAATAGCGGACAGATTGGCCAGAAGCAACAGTGACATGGTACAACCAAATAGCCACTTAACCCACCAAGAGACGAAAACATTAAAACAATCTAGTATCAAAGAAAGGTGGCTGGATACCCACACCAGATTTTCTCCCCAAGACTCACTTTATCACCTCTCTAGAGAGGGACAGTGTATTATATTCAGATTAAGGACTGGGCACAACAGATTTCATCAACATATGTTCAAATTTTTCGGTGTTAGAAATACAGAGACATGTCCCTGCAGCATGGCACCCAAAAAAGCTAGGCATGTGCTCCAACACTGTCAACTGTATTCTGACAACAGAGACGTAATCTGGCCTGTTCCAACCACAATGAAGACAAAACTGTTTGGTACACGAGAGGAAATGGATTGCACAATAGCTTTCATAAAGGCTACCGGCCTCCTGATATAAGTTTTCTGACAGAAGGATTGAAGAAGCAGAAGAAGGCTGGTTCAGTCTGTTGGGCTGCAATCCCAAAGGGAAAGCATCAATAATTAAAATCTTGCTCTAAATATTGACTTGTTTCTCTTCCTAAAATATTGTTGAATGATCTCCCTTTACAGTGATTTGTTTTCTTTCTCTTCCCCTGAATAATGATTGTTTTATTTATTTCCCCTTTTTGCAGAGAGTGGTATTGAAGTCATTGAAGTAGGATGTGGAAGAGGGCGACTGCTGGCCATGTTTGCTCAGATGTTCCCAAAGAGTACTTTTGTGGCTTCTGATAATGTCCCCAGTCTCCTGGCACGGCTCGAGGACACACTTGGTCACATTCCCAACATCAGGTTCGAACTGCTAGATCTGTGCTGCCAGTCTGACCAGTCAGTCAAGCAGTATGATTGGGTCTACTGTGTTGATGTCATCCACGATCTACCCAACCCTCCAGAAGCCTTGGAGGCAATCAAGAAACTTGTTAAAAATTATGATGGCTTGTTTACGATAATTGACATTTTGACATCAGGCAGTCCAATTAGCGATAAGGGTAATATGCATGTGGCTTCTATATATGCAGCCAGCTCATTCATGTGTGTTCCGGAAAGTTTTCAAAGGAAGGAGAGCTATGCGCTGGGGGCTTGCTGGGGAAAAAGAACAGCCTTAGATGTGATTACTGCAGCTGGGTTTAAGGTCAAGGACATTGACCTGGAAAATAACTTTGTTTTGTACATTTGTAAACTTTGAATCTTGGCAAGATTTTAATAAGATTTAATTCATTTATCAGTTGACTCATTTTATAATTTGTTTATTTATCAAGCATTTCCAATCATAATTCACTGTTTAACACACTGACTATCAAGCCCTTTAACTCTTGCACTCTTCCAGATACCACATATTTTAGTGCCTACTAGAAATGCCAGAAGTTCACAACTATGTAACATACACTTAACATATTTTTTTACTTTTGCTCCAAATTAAATGGAGAACACATTTAAAGAAAAAAAAATTGTGTTTTACATCATGAAGTGGATATAGTCTGGTGCACAAAAGGCAACTGAAAAATCTTTTATCTGACAACGTTATTGACTAAAATTCTGCATAAAATATGACAATAATATTTTAAAATGCGGCCTCAGACACAGTATATGACCACCACAATCCAACAAGAATTTGACGCCATGATGAAAAATTCTTCAACGGGTCACCGACATAGGAGCTAACAAAGAAAATTCATAACAGTTTAACTTTAAGCACTACAAAGTTGTTCCCCTTAAATTAATATACAGAAATAAATGAACTTGAGGCTTCAGCCAAATTCATCTCAAAGAATCCCATTTTTAACATGACGTCGATCTAAAGTTACAATTGCAGGGGTGTGTGATGATGGTAGCCAAACGTAAACGTTGCATATGTGCGATCATCATAGTCAGTGGGTTAACTAATGAAATGATGCCATTCAGAATTCATTATTTTAATAATGTAGTTATTCTATTCCAAATGAAGTAATTTCATCAGTCAGTCAGTCAGTAACTCAGTCAGTAGCATGTCCTTTGCGGAATCTTGCCACCATAACAACCCTCTGATGAACATCTGTTGATCACAAGCATTTGATACACCAATCTGGAGATCATCCGCCACATCCTACACCCATCTGAAGATCATCCGCCACATCCTGCACCCATCTGGAGATCATCCGCCTCATCCTGCACCAATCTTCTATTTGGCCTTCCTCTTGCTCTCTTCCCAGGCATATACCCCTCCATTATTGTTCTCTCTAAACTTTGGCGACATTTCAATTGACCAAAATATTTCAATTTTCTGTGTTTTATCATCTTTAATAGACAACCTAATTCCTATCGAAATGCATTATTTGATTAACAAATTGATTTCTGTAAGATTTATCATTTGATAAATGAAGTGATTTCAGTCAGAATTCATTGTTTGATTACAGAAGTGACTCCTGGCAAGAGTTCATTGTTTGATTTTTGAACGATTCCAGTAAGAATTCATTGATTGATTAATGATGATTCTAGTCAGATTTGATGGTTTGAATAATGAAATTGTTGCAGTCAAAAATTGATGGTTTGATTAATGAAATTATTCAAGTCTTATATTATTGTTTGTTTAATGCAGTGATTCTAATCAGATTTTATTTTTTGATTTATTAATTAGAAATGTTGATAGCAAACATCTTTACCTGCTGAATATAACGTGCACAAGAATGAAATGTTACAATGTAAAATGTTTGCTTTTTTGAATTTAAAATAACTGAATATTGAAATAAAACTATTTTATTGTCATGTTTTTTTACTGGTGTCACAAAGTCAACTGAGACATAAAACATGTTCACAAGTTTGAGACTATTTTTTTTTTTAGCTTGACATGGAAGTCAAATTGTCCAAATTCCCCGTTGTTGAAGAATATTTCTTCTCCTCTTCCTTTTCCTTCTTGCCTTGTCTTGCTGCTTCTTCTTCTGCTGCTTCTTCTTCTTCTGCATTCACCTGTAACAGCACAGGTGGCATTTACATTGTGGTTTACAGCTTTGTTACAATATCTGCCTCTTTTGATACAACACATCCAATTTCAGCAAACTTCAGTTTTTAATAACCGTTTGTTGACGGGCAGTAGGTCAATTCTCCACCCCTCCTCTCAACCCCCAAACCCCTTCCCTTTTTTCCCTCCCAAAAAAATTATGTTTTCCCAAGAACCCACACAGGCAGCAATCATTATGTTTGGACTAATAAATTTCAAACATAACTGATGTTTAAAAAAATAACACATGACCAACTATCCTTTATCATAACACATATCAGTTATGACATGTTATCATTTTATAATTGTTGGAGAAATGAACTAGAGACAGTTTTTAAAAAACCTGGCTTAAACAAAAACAAAAATCTGCCAACACTGCCTGTGTTTTACCACTTTTGCAGTGTAGTGTTGGCATTTTTGAGCCTAAAGATTTAGGGTGGCATGGCCAGTGCTGTCGCCACAGATTGTGCAGGTTGGGATTATATTTTTGCACCAAACATAAATATCCCCAGCCTTACTGAGGATTCAAACCCGGGTCTCCTGCAGGAAAGCCCAGCATTGTAACCATTTAGCCAGCTGCTCAGGAAAAAGGAAGCACCTAAAAAGATTATGTCAAGATGAGACAGAATACCTGACAATTACAAGACAGGGAAAGGTTATAAAATCTGGCCACATATAAGTCAATAATATGAAAATCAAACGAGCAGAAACTTATCAGTATTTGGGTGCAAACTTCAACTGCTCCAGCATGCTCAGAGAAGAAATGCAGCCTAACAGAGTATACTATGTCATTCAACATCCGTTCAAGTCAAAGTGTCTATTATGCAACACAAAGATCAAAATATATGAAATGTTAATAAGACCAGTCATTTTATATGGCTCTGAAACTTGGAGCACAACTAAAAGAGATGAAGCCTTATTACTCATTTTTGAAATCAGAATTTTATGGTGAATCTTTGGATCCATCAAAGATGCACACAAAAGACACTGGACAGTGAGAAGCAGCAACGAAATTCATAGTCTGTTTAAATTACCCCTGATCACTGGCATCATGAGATCTAATAGGTTAAAATAGCTGGGGCAAATTGAGAGAATGTCAGATGACAAAGAGGTGAAAACTGTATACACAAGGGAGATAAATGGTTGTAGACCATGAGGCAGACCAAGAAGATGATGGAAAGATCATATCCAGACCTAAAAACACTTGGTGTCATCAGCTAAAAAAAGAAGGCCAGCCAGAGAGATGAGCGAAGCCGGGTGATATCTGCAGCAATAAAACTCAAGGGCTGGAAGGCTGATGAAGAATGTCATCATCATCATTATCATCAAGTGCCTTGCCAGCTGGCATAGGCATTCATGCAACTCCACAGATCTCGGTCTTTGGTGTTTTGGATCAATTCCACTGATGATATTCCTCCATACCACTGTTTTAAGCCATCCATCATCATTTCTCTTGGTCTGCCTCGGCCTCTTCTACCAGTGATCTTTTCAGTGCTACTTTTCTCATCGGGCGGGGTCTTTCAGCCTGAGGATTTACGGCCGCATGGCTAAAGCTGTCGCTACGACTGTGGTTTTTATTTTGCCCCCGACAGAAAAAAAAAAAAACAGCATTGCCGAGGATTCGAACCCGGGTCTCCCGCTTTAGAGCCAAGCTTTCTAACTGTTTGGCCAGCCGCCCCTCAGCTGTCTTTAAATAATCTTTGAATACTTTTGTTTGGCTTTACAATCAATCAATCAGGTGCTATTTCTGCAATGAAGGTTGGCTGCAACAGATCTCCAAAATGCTTTGTCTTCTCCTTCAGACTGCTGTTTATCTATCTCTCGATGTCATCCTCCCTATTGCAACACTGTCTGTCTCTTTCTCCCTTTCCTTAAACGTTTCCATCCAGTATATATTTTTTTTCTTTCAGCTTACTATGGCTTTTTAATCTGCATGTATGGATTAAGCTTTGTAAACGAGCTTCGTAATTCTGAAATACTCGGTTCAATTTCATCCAAAGGTAATTTGGTAGCAGACTACCTTGCTTTCATTTTGACAGTGGTTTAGAAAGCAATGGCAAACTATTTAACATAAGATTAACTTGTGAAACCTAAAAAGATTCAACAGGATGCTTGGGTTGGTTCTGCAATATCTTGTAAAGGATACGCAGTTACCTTTTTTTAATGACTTTTAGTAGGACCGAAATATTTCATTTGCTGTTTCTTATTCCCTCATCAACTTTTAGTGTTTTTTATTTTCGTTCACAGTCACTTCAGAACCTTCGTGTTTCTTCTTCTTCTTCTTCTTCTTCTTCTTCTTCTTCTTCTTCTTCTTCTTCTTCTTCTTCTTCTTCTTCTTCTTCTTCTTCTTCTTCTTCTTTTGTCCTGTTCCAGAACCTAAGAGTTGCGTGCAAATCTGTTTTACAAATCTGGCTTTTTTGTGCGCAGACTTATGGTTCATTGCCTCTCACACAGATGCACTCTGACTTCGAACGAAAGCCCCTCCCATTTAGTCTACTCTTACGACATGCTTATTATGGAAGTGATATGTTTATCCATGTTTTTCCCAACCGGAAAGGCTAACCCGTTAACTAATTCCTGATAAAGTTGGATGCGTCGGCTGAAATGTGCTAATATCGCAGCTATGCTGTAAATAGCCACAACACAAATTATGTCACTCGGAGGGACCATAAAGAAAAAGCATCCAGCTTCTGGATGCTTCTAGTATGTTTTGGGTGTCTTCCCTAGCAGGTAGGCTCTTTTGGAGTGTCTGGATATTTTCTGCATTACCTTCTTCTTCACCAGCTGTACACTCTGGTGGAAAGTTCTGGTTGTTCGTCCACTCCTGAACTGCACTCCTGCTCCAGAACCTGAGTGTTGAGTATGCATCAGTTTTACAGATCTGATTCACTTGAATGAAGACTGTTGGTTCCTTGCCTCTCAGGCAGATGCACTCCGACTTCAAAGGAAGCTCCCCAATTAGTCGACTCTTACGGCATGCTTTTGGGTAGGTGAAGGGTCTATTCTTGTTTTCCCCACAATGGGGCTCCGAAACCCACACGGGGATAATTGCATTGAAGAAGAAGTCACATGTGACGACCGAAAGATGCAAATATCCCTGTCCTGCTATTAACAGTCACAACCTAATTACACAACAAGAAAAAAATAATCGACGAAAGAAGAAAAATAAAATAATTGTACCGATTAAGAAGGTTCCAGTTTTTAAAGTTCTA